TTTAAAATGTTGTTAAACTCATTAAAAGAATTAAATAATTGTCCACACTGCATAATAAATTCAAACAAACACTAAACAAATCAAAAAATAAGAAATCTTTTTACTAATTAATATTCTAAAGTGTAAACACAACCCGATTAAATAACAAACATACATAACCTCACTGACACTTACTGATCAAGTAAGCGTGTACCAAAAATACAATATTTGCGCACGCTAAATAATGACATCATCGGCTTGATGACGTTTCGCGTGTATCTAACTTTTAGATTTGCGTACAAGTTAGCGTGTACCTAGACACAGCGTTTTTATAACCATTTTGTGATTAAGATTACTATCATGGGCCAGTTAACGGGCTGGAGTGACTGGATTTTCTTCTAAAGCAAGCAACAAATTCAACTTCGTGTCGTCATCGACAACACCTTGCCTTTTTCTCGGTACTTTTCTGACATGACCCATTCCTCGATATTGTGCCTCTATTTTACTAATAGTACCTTGATTTATTGGTGGCAAGTCAGGATGCGACTCTCGAAACAGGCAAACAACTTCGATTTGAATTCGCATCCTATCACCATATCCAATCATCATCAAAATTTCGATCTTTACCGCTTCAGTTAAATAACTAGGCATTTTCACGAGTTTGCAACAACACTTTGTATCGAACGCTGAATACTGTAATTACAAACTAAATTTCTTTTTGCGGATGTGTATAAACATTAACAAAAAATAGCAAATACCAGTTGTGGCAAGAAATGGTTTGGAATTTTTTGTGAGGACATCTAAAAAGTAAGGTTTACATTCCAAAACTAAACAACAAACATTTTCAGCAATTGTTACTTTGAAAATAAATTAAACTTGTAAATTACGTTTTAATTTGATGCAACCCCAAAACTACCCCCACTAGAAACTAAAATTTGATACGTATGCTGGATTCCTCGTTCCATCAGCTTTGCAATGAAAGGTCACAAGCCACAGGGTTTCATTTGAAAAAAACATGTTGAGGGTGGTTTCAGTTACCCCCGAAGGCCTATATTTTTCAAATTGTTTGCAAAATGTTGGTAAATATATTAAAACGTTGACGTGTCTCAGGAAATTTTAAAAAAATTATTCACCTTCCCGCTAGCGAATTTATTCCAGTTAAGATCTCCAATGTAGGGGTCTATTCTGTAACAATTCCTTTATATTTAACGGCCTTTAAAAATATTTTCTTCTTTACTTCTGTCATTATTTAAACGGATCTTTAAAATACATTAGAGGACTATCTTAAAGAAATCTGTTTAAATAATGACAGAAGTAAATTAACGAATACGAACATATTTTTGTAGGCCGCCAATATTTTTAAAGGCCGTTAAATATAAAGGAATTGTTACAGAATAGACCCCATAATAGCTTAAATTTATAATTTTATCTCAATAAAATATAGAAAACAGTTTAAAAATTACAAATAATCTCTCCACTAGATTGTTGAGGGATGCATTAGGAACAAGCCGTATGTAATATTTTATTTGTCTAAATTTCTAAAATACCGTATGTGATACACTCAATAATACCAATATTAGCTAAAAGAACCACATGTGGCATTTTTCGATAATATGAATCTCTTCATTTTATTTTATATAATATATCTTGTCATATATGTTATTCGCTGAGTGCGAAGTCATGGTAGGGGAAGCAAAAGCAATACTAGCACTAGCTGCGGATAATTCGTTCATTTTGGGGCGATATTTTGTAATTTTGGCATATCAACTACACATACAGATCCATTGACGATACTACGAACACGGTCAAACTGATGACCAATTTACCCTTGTCCGCTACTGTCATTCCAAAGCTTTCGCATGTGACATATTTAGAATAACTTTATACATTTCACGACAGAGTCGAATATTAATGAATATTTTATAAATAAATGAAGATAAAGAACAAACATAACATATTCAGACATGAAAATAGTGAAATTTAATAATGCAACCATCAACTAGAATTTGTAATAATAGACAAAATTTTGAACAACTTTAATAGTTGTTGACGTAGCGCAGTGGGTAAGGTGTTGTACTTACAGTCTACCTACGCGGATAGAGGTAGGATCGAATCTCGGCGCCGACGTTTTTTTTTTTTTTTTATTTTATTAATTTTCATTTTCTTTTTTCATTTCTTTTTTCATTTCTTTTTTTTTTTCTCTTTTTTTGAGACCCTCCACAATAGTAAGAACAGCAACAGTTAAAAATTTATAAAAAACAACTGTGATTTTGTTTTCAAATGGAAAAAAATTCAATACAAACATTAAAAAATAGAGAATAAACATTGAACATTTAAAAAAAACAAAACGAACTTTAAAAAATTACATAACTAAGATTAAAACAAAAATACAAAACTAAGATTAAAAAATTACAAAAAAATAAAAATTATAAAATGGAATCCAATAGACAATAATAAATTACAATCAATAATAAAAGAACACGAATTTATTTTTAATGTAATAGGTGCTCAAATAGACCTCCTTCTTGGGCAAGACAGTACCCCAAGCGATCGTAAAATGATCGCCTTACTTCAGCCAACATATTGGGACTAATAAGTTGAACGGCTTCTGAAATTTTCACTTTCAGCTCATCTAAGTCGTTAGCTCTTTCTTCCCTGAATTTGTATATCTGAGACTTTAAATAACCCCACAAAAAAATCACAAGGTGCGAGATCCGGCGATCTATCTGGCCACAGAATTGTACCTTTCCCTGATAATAATCTGTTGGGAAATGTTTCATTTAAAAAGTGCTGCACCGTCACACGATTATGCACAGAACATCCGTCTTGTTGAAACCAAATATTGTTAAATCGAGCTCCTGCCAATCGCCGTATCTCAGGGACAATATGGTGTCTGAGTAAATCCAAATATTTAACACTATTTAAATTACCCTCAATATAAAAAGGACCGATTACATTTTCACCTAGTATTCCCATCCAAACATTCAACTTTTGCGGGAACTGCGTGCGAACTGTTACAAATTTATGTAAATTTTCTCGAGACCAATATCGGACTTGGGATGGATTATGCTGCCTGGCAAGTAATGGAAAAGTCGACTCATCGGTGAACACAACATTGTAAAGAAAATTGTTGTCATTGTTAACTTTATCCATTACTGCCTCGCTAAATTCCATTCGTCTGATATTGTCAGTTTCATAAATTTCTTGGCATTTTCTTACTTTATAAGATCGATATCAATGTTTTTTAAAATTCTATTTACTGTGGTTTCACTGGAACCTACTTCCGCAACCTCTCTCTGAGATATCATCGGATTTTCTTCCACAGTTGCACAAATCATAATATCCCTATCTTCTTGTTCATTCTGATTATTATTATTAACTCGAGCCTTTTTATGTTCATTGGGAGAAACGCAGCCATGAATTTCAAAATTTTGAACAATACGATGTACTGTTGAGAGTGATGGTATGGGCCTATTTTGAAATGTCGCCTCAAACAAACCGCTTATTTGTCGAATTGTGTTGCCTTGAAAATGCCATTTCACAATTTGTACTTTCTCAGCAATTTCGTAAACATTTATTTTAAATCTAAAGAAATACTTTTCGCCCGCGATAAAAGTACAAAATTGAATGTGACAGTTGCGGACAAGCGTCAATTGGTCATCATGTTTACCATCTTCCTAGTACGATGGATGAATCTGTATACATTTTACTTTTTTTTTTTTTTTTTTTTTTTTTTTTTTTTTTTTTTTAGGTATAAACAATACAATAAGCAACTGGAGTTGCTGTGTTGTAAATTGTAAAATACTACAAAAAAAATGTGTAAATTAAAAAAAATTTTAGTAGCGAAGTGGAAATTAAATCAAAGAAATAAATGGATAGCTGTACAATAAAAAGAAAAATTACCTTTATTTTTGTAATAATAAATAACAGTAATATTGGAAATAGCAGTAGACAACAGAAACTTGAAAGATTTTAAATATACAATAAATTATCATTTTACGATATTCTTCAATATCCCTTTAATCTTAAATGATCAGCAAGAACCAGATTTCTGCCTTTTATTATGTATGTGGCTGGAATGCAATTTTGGGCCTTACTGATAGGAAACCAGTTTTAATCATTCATTCTATGTTTTGTCGAACACAAATTAAAATATAAATAACAATCCTTCTTCCCACTCGACCATTCACTGTTGGGTACTAACTAACAGTGCTGTTCCTAAAGTGCCGATGACACCAAAAAAAAAAAACAATCCTTCTGTTTATACATTTTAACTTCACACTATTATTTAATGGTATTTTTTTATTTTGACAGAATAGGTTAATTCTTTAAAAACAACTTATTAGAGTTAGACAACTTCTCATACATTTTCCCGTAAATACTGTTGCCTGTCTATATTTTATTATTGATTATACTTAGTTTTTTTTTTTAAGCGATAAAAATATAATAAGAAATTATTGTTTCACACTTTTGAATTATCAATTCTATTAAAAATTGTGTTGTCAGTATAGGCAAAAATAGTCCATTAGTACATAAATGAATTGGCGCTGCAGTCACGCACTTTTGGTTTTTGGTTTCATTTTTTTTTTATTTCAACCACCCTTGATCTCCATTTTATTCAGACTTGTTTTAAAATTACTAGGCTTTGGCTAATTATAGAGCATGATTTTTGTCAAAAATTTCACTTTTATATTATTGTTCGTTTTTATTAAAAAAAAAATCAAAATCAATAGGCTTCATCTTCTTATAGAGCTTGATTTTTACTAAAAATGCCATATTGATTTATGATTCTTTTTTTTTAATTTCTCTCTCTTAAACCTCCCATTTTTAATTAGATCCTTTTTGTATCATATGGCTTCTTCCCCTCATAGAGCTTGATTTTAGCTAAACTTTTCAAGTTGATATAATTTTTCGTTTTTGATTTGGCTGACAAAAAACGTGACATCGGACGGACAAAAACAGACTATTGTGTGAAGAGTATAAGTGGTTTCAGCGAGTATAATATTATTGTTTTATTTTAGGTTGAAGATGAAAACAAACCTTTGGATTTGGATACTAGAATAGCTCTGTTACTCAAAGAAAAGGGTTCCGGAGGAATGGCGCCGCCATTTTTGAATTTCGGTGCCGACTCGGACGACGATTCTAAAGCATCCGATAAATTATTGAAGCAAGTTCCTATTTCGACGTCTTTAGATAGCGACGATGATGACAGATCCAGTATTTCATTGAGCGATATGCCTATCAATCCTCCCGCACCTGATATGGACTTTGATTTTCCACAAGACGAGGAAACTCTGCCGTTGTCAGATCCGCCATCGCCATTTTTATCCAAGGAAATTTATTTGGATTGCCATCGGCTGGCTTTGGAACATGTAAGTAGAAAAATAACATAGTTCATAAAAGTGACATTTACATGTTATCGTTTTTATGTCATATTTTATTTCTGAATGTTCTAGGCCGTGGTAGCAAGGCAGAGAGAAGCATTGGAAACGTCCGCGCTTCTTAAGAAAGTCCACATAGAAATGAGTAAAATCGGTAGTGACATCTCTTCGAGCGAAGATGAACTACTTACAGGAGAAAGGATGCAAAACAACTACAGTCCTATCGATAGGATGGATCTCAGGAATGAATTCAAAATGGAAAAAGTAAGAACGTGGAAAACAGTTAGTGTACTAGGTAGTAGGTGTTAATAGTAGAGATATTGTTATAGCATGTTTTAGTATTTTTGACATAGTACTTTCTATAATTTTGTTTGTTGGGTACTTTATGGCATTTTTTTTTAATTTTTGTTTTAAGTACAGTAGGTAAGACTCCTAGGTACATTATATTTGTATGGAAACATATGTTTCAATAGCTATTTGTGTATTAAGAGCGGGAAGTGCTACTTTGCCGCTTAAGATAAAGAGTTGCCGCGCGGCGGAGTGCGGCATTTTATCGTAAGCGGCAAATAGCTTTCCGCTCGAATTACACACAAGATTTGTTCTAGGATCACACGATATTAAAAGTATATAGATTTATTTTGCCGAATTCAAATCTTACTACGTTAATTTCACAGACACGGCTAACTTGACTAGCAAACGAAAAGTATGTTATGTATATATTATGTTGCCTGCTTACTCCAGAATTAATTTTATGATATGCATAAAAAATATTTGTTAGTAAAATACATCTTAAAAATAACTTACGCAAGATCATTGGTTAGAATACTCAAATGGCAAATTAATGGCTCATACAGTTTTTTAAGTTTTATTTAATTTTACAAACAAAAAAATCAAATTTAAAAAAAAAATAATAACTGGTGATGATTGAACTCACGACTATCGGGTTCAAAGATAAACGCGCTCGGCTCTAAACCAACAAGACATGTTAAATATGAGTGTTAAAATCAGGGTAATTTATTTTTAATATTTTAATTCATCATTTAAATATTAAGGAAAATGAGTTTGAGTACTAAATGTTCAACTAAAAGATTCAGATTAGTCTACATTTTCTTTTAAAATACCGATTCAAAATACTCTATAAAATGATTTTACATGGTTCTATTTTTTTAAGGTGAGTGCAAACATAGTGTTGCTCTCTTGTTGTTGTTTCCGAACACCATCGAAGTGAATATCCTTCCATCACTCTTGTCAAAATTTTAAAGTTCTAATAATTTGAGGCTTTCGATTCTTCTTTGAGTTAAAAACATTAAATGTGTGCTTTTTATAAATAATAAAAGTGAACAGATATATATATCTCAAGTGCAAACTGCAAATGTTGGTTTCTAAATGGGCTATTTTGTTCGCGGTGAGAATCCTGAACCGAATTATAACTAATAGTAACGATTTCGCATGCGCAGTGGTTAAAAAGCATTCGTGGAACAAAAAGAACTGAATTATTGGTTCTATCTTGCGTTCGCGGTAATATTATTATTGTTTTTGAACCGCTTGTCTATACCTGGAACACCAAGATTTAATAGGGATTGCGTGCGCTTCATAAATTCAGAATAGATATAGAATTGGGCATGTGCTCAAAGTATGAATTAGTAATTCTGAATCAGTTCAGGATTGTTACCGGGAACGAATCTAATAACAACGTTTCTAATGAAAATAGGCGTGTGCAAAAAGTAATTTTCTGCCTATATGCGGCAATAATGTCGAACTATGACAATTCATGGAAAACGTCAACTTTCCAGTTAGATTTGAATGTGCAAAAAACTACTTTGGATAGTGATCGTAGAAAAAATATTTTTCCTACTTAGAACTAAAAAAAAAATCGATTTTCCTAACTTTTAAGAGGAAAATTTACATTACAAACTGAAAGACCTGCGGGGCAACGGTAGTTTAGTAGGTATAAAAATTACAACTTAAGGATGGAGCCTAAATACTACAAAATTACTTCCGAGACTAAACAAAATCCGCATTCATTCATAATTTTAACAGTTGCCTGTAGATACGAGAGATACGTATTCCAAACTCTAACGCGCGACGTTGAGACTCATAGGAACCAAAAAATCCTACCACGGCTGCCGACAGACGTTCATCAGTTCTTGTTCTTGAGTGAGTCAGAGTTACCTAAATTAGGGGAACCAGAATCGTATTTGTTTTTCTTGGTGCATGGCGAGATATTGTTATAACGCAGTTCGATTTTTTAGAGGGTTTTACATTATTTTTATATTTTAATTTAGTGAATAGGTTTAGTTAGATTAAATTAGATTTAATATTCTTTAGTATTTTCATAATTTGGAAAACAGTATAGCATTGAAAATTCTATACCTGAAAAATTGTGAGTACGCTTTTAATTAATTGTTTGTTTTTTTATCTCACAATGTCTCGGGTATACGAAGTTAGTATTCAATATCATCCAGACAAAAAACAAAAATATGTTTAAATTAATATATTAAATAAATTATGTGTATTCTTAAACAGAGATATATTTATTTGTATTATGGAAATAATGTTTATGTCAATAAACTTATGTTCGATATTTCTATCAATTTGTAAAGATAATTCTTGTATAATTATAATATTAAATTTAAAGGTTTCAAATAAGGACTTGCAGATATCACAGTTCGAAATTCCTTTTTAACTAAAATTTTTGACCGTTATGAAGTTAATAAAGTTATAAATAACGTCGTTACAAAGACTCATGTGTGAATTTTCAATTTCTATTGATGATAGTTACTCATCTACGTATTACAATATCAATACATGACTTTGCTTTGACCCAAAACTTTTAATCCGAATCAAAATCTTGAAACTATTATTTGGGGACTTAAAAGCGTGGTCCACTGGTTGGTGTAGCCTTTTAAAACATTTGGTATAATAATAATTATATATCATCAATTACCACTGCCACTGGTAAAATCCTAAATTTAAAATAGTGTACTATAATAATAAGACATTAATTATATCTTAAATGGATCGCCTACTACCATGTTTTAGAAATAAATAAAATGTAATTCTTAAATTAATAAAAATATTCAAAATAATTTAAGATTCCTTGCGTTATGTTAATAAACATTAAACAAAATTTCTTACGAATTATTTAGTATTCTGTCTCGTACTTCCATGTCTCCATGTCTATTAGCTGTCAACAAGTTCCGGCAAGGCATATTGCATATAAAAAGTTTTAATTTTATTTTGTATCTTTTCTTTCCAATTATGAGATATTTTCTCCACTTTTATTCCTCCAGAAGTCCAAAAGCACAAAATGCAAAAATCCATTTGTGTTATGTACAGCTAGCCCTGAATTTGAAAATAGTGGTTCTCCTTAATGGTATTGTCCTTTTTCCAAAAAGTTATTTCTCTACTGTATATTTCTTCTTTTACAGTCAGCACTTCAGCTACATATGGACATTTTAACTCGTATCATAGAGTTTTTTTTTTTTTTTTAATTCCATCAAGACTGGCAGCAACATAATCAAATTCGAATTCACTAAAATGTCCACATTTAAAAAATTTTACTTGTAAATAAATTTCAAAATCTTATTTTGCTCTGAATTTATGGCCCCTGCCATATCGGGTGGCTTTTCAAATAAATAAAAGATTTTAGGAGATTTTTTACAAATTTCTCCAAATTTTAAAGCAGTGACTCGTCTTTTATTGTGCCACAATGCACAATCAGCTTGTCAAAATCGTTTTTTCTCATTTATAGAAATTGGCTAACTTTTTAGAAAAGTTTTTCATGCCACGCGCCTCAAAGTGTGCGACAGATCAAAGCCATGCGCGAAAGCAAGAAAAAATATTTACATTACTTTAACGGATTGAAGAGAATGGAATTAATAATTATTGTTGACTCGAAGAGGTATTCATTAAACAAAAACATATTTATAATTCACATCTCAGTGCATACCTTCCAATTTCGGATATATATTTTTTTAATAAATAAATGATAAAATTAATTTAATATAATTGGGCGAAATTACTGTATGTAAACAATAACAACATGAATTCAAATCACTAAATAGTAGAAAACGATATATATTTTGTTGGTGTCACCATCTAGACAAAAAAGCTTTTAACGTATTTCTATTTTTATTGTAATAAAAATAAATGCGCCTGTAGGCAAAAATTAAATATTTATTTCTATTTCTTTTCGTTTCTTTTCTTAGATTTTTTTCAAAAGAGACTGATTCATATTTTTAAAGTGACTCCAGAGAGGTATGGACTAAGCCTTTACCTGTACTTACATAAAATTTATTTTAGTAAAATTAAAGAATAATCCGTAAAATTGGTGTACTATGAAACCCTTGCGTATAATATATATACCAATCTTAGTATTAAAGAAATAAATTCCGTAAAAAATAAGGTGTACAAATACGTAAAATTTATTCATCCCTCGTAAAACATCAGTAAAATATATTATAAATTCAAAAAGGAAAAACTTGTATTTCGTGCAAAACTTTTTTATTAATCAATGCAAAGCGCTTTCGGCTTATTTGCCATCATCAGTGCTCATCTACAAAAAATTGTGGATGTAAACTTACAATTTAAAAAGATTTTAAAAAAATATATTATAAAATCTGAATTAGACTTTTAAGTCAAAAGTTAAAATAGTATATATACAATTGTTTGAACAAATTAAAAATTACAAGAAACAAACAAAGTGACAAAAAACTGGTATTGGGAATAGTGAGTGTGGGATAAGCCCTTACAAATCAAATCTGATCTCCAGAAGCAAGTTAGCTTGTGTGGAATTAAGGAATCGTGCCACCCTCACTATTCACAAAATTGAAAAAAGGTTAACAAATTAGTTAACATTTAAAGAAATTTACAATTAGAGGGTGACGTGGAAGATATATTGAAATTTGAATCTAGAATGCAATATTTGATATGAAGAAAGTAAAACGCAGAAGGCCAAAGTAAAAAAAAACTGAAGGTTTTTTTTTATATGTTTTATAAACATTATAATTATGAAAAAGTCTACCTACTGTCCACAACGTATCCAACAAGTTCCTGGTCATCCTCACTCCCAAAATTATATATTTCGGGATATTTACAACTTGCTAAATCATAATTTTATTAATATTAATATTTTCAAATTTAAATTTATCTCTTCATTTTGGTTCAAGTTGTTTAACCGTTTCCACATGACAGAAAAAACAGTTTCAAATTTTAAAAAAGTGTCTCCAGAGGAGCATAGATTTATCCTTTACCTACACGTA